AATATGAAAAACTAAGTGCCGTTTATATGAATGACATATAGGCTGCTTTAGCATTGGTATTGTTATGTACACAAAAGGGTTCCTTATATTGCTTTGTACATAAAAAGTTTGACCAAAAGAAGGAGAATGTCTTCACTCTACCTGAAATATCAGGTTCAAATGAATGGGGAACAGACTATATTCACTATTTTAACTCTCATTGACGATTATTGCAAAGAAGAAATTTAAAAGCAATTTTTGTGTGTGCGCTTTTGCACTTCCTATATAAATATGTATATTTTTACAATTAAATGCAACAATTGATCATCTTATTTGTGTTACTGAGCATGTAGGGGAAAAACCGATTATAAAAAATTAATTAGGTTAGAACTAAGAAGGAGGGTAGATTTCACTTTTTATTTTCATTCAAGATTTTAATTATAGGTAGTTTAACGATGCCTGCAACTATACAGTAAATAAGTTTAACAATGGTTCTAAATTTGAAACCACTGGATTCTACTGAGAGCAGAGAAACACTTGGAAGATGCTAAACACTGCCTTATGTGTAAACAGTTAGATACCCCGAACCTGCTCTAAACATGTTTCAGCATGAGCTTATAACACCCACCCATAGCGAAAGTTGAAAGAACTAAATACAGTCAAAAATCATATCTCGAAAATAAGACGTGTGGTTCCTGTTAATGGCATAGTGCGATAATTCACTAACTTAATTAGTCCTTTACCGGTGAAACCGGGGGGGGGGGGGGGGGCTATAGCATTCCTCTACGTCCGTCCGTTTGTCTGTTCCCGTCTCTCTGTCAGTCTGTCCCACTTGGTTTTCCGCACTTTTTTCTAAACACTGGCAGATATTGAGCTGAATTTTGCTATGTGAGTGTATCTTAAATAGTAACATATCAAGTATGAATTTCGCTTTGCTTCATTGATTTTTGACAGAACTATGGCATTTTGAATATTTTGCATTACCGTTTAATTAAGATCGGGTTCGAACTGCTCTAACTTCCGATGGTCGCCAGAAATATGAAGCGAGGAAAAGACGGTGGAGAAATGAGTGGAATTTTCGTCTTAATGTGGATTAAATTTTTTTTAGTTTGAAGGCATGTACAATCCAAAATCTTTGTAGCTTTACCTTGGACATGACTTTTGCATATAATAAAATGACATCCTGAAGAAAAAGGAAAACCCGGTAGGGGACATGTATTGCTTATGCAATACTCTCAGAATGCTTATTGAATTGACAAACGCGGGTTTGTTAAGGCAGCACATGGATCAGAATTCGGCGAATTAACACTTTTTTATAATTATGTAACACTAATAAATCGGAAAAGTCAAGGATAAAACTTTTACTATAATTATGCATTCCAAAGACTCACTGACTTATACTACAGAAGGCACTTCACCATGACGTCACCACGTGACGTCTATAATTAGAAAATATGCCTTCATGAAAAAGTGAAAAGTTTAACACTACCCCGGGGATAATTAGTTCCAATTTATATTAATAGTTATGTAAAAACATCTCTGTACCATGAAAAGTGCTGCTAGAATCCTACTGTCATCTTATAGAAATAATTATTCAACAATTTCGGACGAAACCTTCCCAAAATTTTTACATTTTGTTCATAACATCGAAAAAAATGCATCAATTCCCGAAAACCATATGATTCTAGCAGCACCTCCAAAAACAAAAAAATGAGAACTTTAGATAGAAACAAAAATTATGTTTCAAGGTATGCGGCGTAGTGTTGAACTTTTGCATCTTTTTTGTTACAAACGACAGTTGAAAGGCTGATCGGCAAGTAAACACCCTCCCTGCTTTAATTTTACGAAGAAATTGCAGAATTATATTACCATACCTTATTCATACGCTTTATTCCCACAAGAATCACACATGATATTCATTCTAAATGCTTATAAACTCCGATTTCTCGTGTTTGTTTAAATCAATTCTCGTTACTTTTTACTTTCACTCTGCTACTGCATGATCAACAGTTATGACGTCACGGGTTTGGTATGTAACTCCTTTGATAACTACAGAGGCCCAGGAACGACAAAATTCCGTTGATATTATTCCTCTGCATATTTTGGTTCATTTTTACGGTCTCAAATCAATCTTAGATATCGATTTTAAGATATCGTTATCTCTAAATCTCACGTCATATAGCTTATTATGACGTCATATCATATAGGCAAGTTGAATAATTGGTTGTAACCTTAACCTATCTGCGAATGAATTAATGTTTTTATGTATTCATTTATCAACTTTCTAGCTGATTGTTTTACTGCAACGACCAACCCTATACACAACGTGAAGTTCTCGACCAAAGACCAAGACAACGATCCTTACGGAGATAACTGTGCGACTTTGTAAAAGTCAGGGAGGTGGCAAAATAAGTGTCACTGCTCTAACTCTAACGGTCTGTACCTGGCTGGGAACACCGCCATATTCGCTGAAGGGATAACATACAACCCCTGGCTCACACATTATTATTCGCTAAAGACAACTCAGCTGATGGTTAGAAGAATTGTATGAGTAAACAGCTCTAAACGGGTTAGAAGAAAAAACACTGTAGATTTCAACAGGAAATTTAGTATAAATGGGAATTTTAACCTGAAGAAAATTTAGGGATTTGTCCATAAAAATTGCTATTCTATTTTTAGCGACTTGACATTTTAGCAATTAAAAAAAACTCACTAATGAAATTAAAACAAATAAATCATTTTTAGCGATATTCAACTTTAATGATCTTGGCACCCTCGCTATGAATGCCAAAATTAAATTCTCTATAAAGGTCCTCTTATACGGTAGGTATAAATGCTATATGTTTATTTCACATAAATGTGTGTGTCAAAATGATAGAAACTAGTTGTGCTATGAGCAGTGAGGTCTAGAAACTAGAGGTACTGTGAGCAATGAGTTCACTAAATGATACCCCCGCCTCCCATATGTATATAATGGCAGTGTCCATGTTTTGCCATGGAAAACCCAAAATATGTGTTGGATAAAAATGTGTAATAGAAGGTGCACAATGGAAATATGTAATAAAGAATCTTTGAAGTTTCATCAAATTTCATTCCATGATATAACAGGATTTGTGGATAAGAAATGGAAACCCCAGAACGTAACAGAAAGAAGAACGGACGTACATATGGACAGACGGACATACCTGTTACTATATACTCTCCCGCTTAACTGTTTTTCATGCGTTGCATTTCCCCGAACTTTCAGTACTTTGATTATATTAACATTCGTGAAAGTGAAGATAATCTTATGACATTACAAAAATGTTTGCCTAGAGAAAACTTTAAGAATAATGTACACCATGTCTGTACTTGGGTTCATCATTAATACACCAACACACAAGTCAATGGTTTAGGTTTGACCAGTTTATATTTATTGATGGTAAAAATATAACAAAAACCTGAAATAAAGTCATTATAATTAATAAACATTTACAAATCCTTACTGACTTTACTTTTAAATTACAAAATATAATAAGAATTGAATAAGTAATAATAAGATATGAATAAGTAATAAATATATTTATCAGGCACACTATATAAATCAGCTACTAGATATAGTATGACTATTCCGTCAAAGGTGTAGCGCTGAGTGTGCATGAAAATTGTTAGCAGCGGGAAAGTTAATGGGAAATTAAAAATAGAAAGAATCTAGTCAAACCGGAAATGGTCAAATACGTCACACCCAGCAAACATAAACACTCACACGTGGACATTCACACATGACAACACAAATGTAAACACACATAATAGAAATAATTAAAACATTAATTACTCACACTGGTTACAATAATATAATGAAAATGAGGAAATACGAATTATTTATAAGTTTTTTGAATGACTTAAATTACAATCCATCTATCAGTCAAAAGGCTCAAAATTAAATGTAGAGTTATTTCTCTTGCTATATCAAAGCATTTAACACAAGGAAAATAGATAAACGTTATAGAAATACCAGAAGTTTAAACCAATCTGTTTTAGTTATTTAAACAATGAACCGATCAAATATAAATTTTTAACTAAAAAAAAAAACACAATTTAATCTTGATGGGATACGAAAATGAGAAACCCATTGAATTATCAGATAGGTGTTGATATATACATTCGAGTAATGTACACACATGGCTACTTCGAATTCCTAACTGCTCATTCGGATTAAAACATATGCCCTTAATTCTAGCACTTTGTTTAGTATTTCCATTATGTATGTTGTCCGACAATGATTGCACAGTTCCATTTAGCAATTTGAATAATCAACTCTATTTGTATCAAAAGCAATTAATTCATATATCTATGAGGAAACAAATATTTTTACATTGATTTAAATGAAGAAAGTATAAGGTACGAGCAGCATTTATAATGAGAACAACCAAACAAATGGAAATATAAACATCATGAAAAAGGCAGTTAGGAAGTTTCCAGCGAGATCTATAAGATATTTGATTGCACATGATAAATAATGGATCTTTATTAAAGTCTATTAATTTTCTACATAAAAAACGTGAACAGTAGATAACTTTGAGGTTTAAAGGTATATTAATTGATTGATAAATACATATTATTATAACAGTAACTTGATCTGAAGGGTCGTATCACATCGAGTTGACAGGCGCGGATCACCAGATCAAACGAGACGCGGATCAAGGTACTGATATTATACATATATCACATGGCTTCGAGGGTGACGTACCAGAATATTTGCCCCAAGGTGACAGGAAAGCCCTGAAGTATTATGTCACCCGATGCCGAAGGCAAAGGTGACATAACACTCCAGGGCTTTCCTGTCACCGAGGGGCAAATATTCTGGTATAGTCGCCCGAGAAGCCATGTGGTATATGTTATATGACATTTTTAAAATTAAAAAAAAATTAAATCATTTTAAATCGTTGAAATTTTCACAAATAATCCAGAAATGCTTTATTGACGTTAAGAATGGGTAGAGTCTATAACTTAACCAGTCAGGCAGTTCGGAAAAACAAATTCCGGTATGGTTTTTCAGTTATTACAATGGTTCTAATATCGAGCCCGATGTGTCATTACAAAATTAAGCGGGTAACAAAAAGATGGCGGAAAAGCGAAAGGCCTCCTGAGCCTACAATATTGATTGTAAGTACAAAGTATGATGAATGGATTAATTTTTAGATGTATTCTATTGCCTATGAAGTTTTGAATTTCACTGTCATAAATACATTTCTCTGAAATACGGTGGAGTTGCCCACAGGCAACCAAGTCTACTTACTGTGTGATACTTGTTGCATAGTGGTCCAGTACAAGACTGGAGAAATCGGTAAAGGATAAGCTGTAGAATTTTAGGATGAATGGGTTAATCAGGTTGGGTACAGATCCTTGTACTAGGAAGTATTACTAAAGAACGGGATTATTCCTCTTTTCAGTAAGAAAAAACATCACTGTATACGGAAATTTTCCTCATATTTTTAAAATAATGCCCCAAATCCGTTTCTTGAATAAAAATTGCATGAAAAATACAATGTGATGTGTTTAAACTTTCTTTAACCAACCTCGCTGACAAAAAAATTTGGTTCTTTAGTGCTGCATACAGGAGTAAGATGAGATTTAATCATACGGTATCATGAGTATTCTGCAAACGGATGTGAATATTTCCCTTATATGGTTGTATGTTCGTTCTCCCTAAAATTTGTTTGCCCTTGACACCTTTCGCCCTAATCCTCATTCGCCCAGAGTCCGATCCCCTAAAACTTGTTCGCACAGGGTCCGTTCACCTTATTTATATTGCAGAAAGTTGAATAAGGAACCAGTGGACTTTTTAAATAAATTATATGTACATTGGTACATAAAATGAGGCTGTACATATAACTTGATTTTATGAAATCCAGAAGGTATTGAAGCAAATTTCAGTTAGAATCTACTATTATATGGAGATAGAATAATGGAATGAGGAAGAAGTGCTACATAAATTGCACACAGGAGACAACAACAAAAATAATACAGTAGCAACATTTGAAAGAAAACACCAAGTCGTAAAATATTGAATATAAAATAAATAATAAATGTTAATATATACTATATACTGTAAATACATTAGGGCGAACGAGATATATGGTGAACGAGATATAGGGTGAGCAAGAATAATGGTGAACGGACCCTGCACGAACAAACTCAAGCGAACAGGTAGATTAGGGGAACGAACATGATACCCCCTTATACAAGTTATTATTTGTTCAAATACCGAAAATTTCCTAGCTTGGTTTCGTGGAGGTGACATCTTTTGAACATGCTTAGGAATTTAAACTCACGTGCAGCAGTAATCCACGACTTTTACTTTAATTTTCCATGTTGATAAATGAATCTTGTAATGGCATTCATGCTAAAACCCTCTTTACAAGACTCTGTTTTAAAATTTAATATTTTAAACAATTATTTTCATGTGTAAAAGAAGCAGTGGTATAAAAAATAATTTTTACGATGTCTTTGAAAGAAATGATATAAAATTAAATTAGAACGAATAATTTGATGAACGAGTTAGCAAGTGGTAAACGTATTCAATCTCACAATTTTAACACAGATAAGCTTCCGTAAGAAATTTATATTGTAGAAATATTTAATAACTGTTTTTCAGCATTTTGCAGCAATAAATATTGTAGTTTTTAGTATACATACACTTAATAGACTATAAATATTTAGAGGATTTGAAAATATTCTTGCACTTAATCTGTTAATCAAATCAAACATAAGAATAGAGGGTAAACAAGTGAAAATACCCGTATATGGTAAGGTTTTTTTTTATTACTGAAAAGAGGAATAATCCCATTTTATAGTAATAGGTTCTCTGAAATGTTGTGGAGTTGTCCACAGGCACCTTAAGCGTACATATTGAGTGATACTTGTTGCATAGAGGTTCATCACAAGACGGGAGAATTCATTAAAGGATAAGCAGTAGAATATTGATTGTAAGTACAATGGGTTAATTTTTAGATGTATTCTATATATTATGAAGTTTTTAATTTCACTGTCATCAATACAGGTTCTCTGAAATCTGGTGGAGCTGGCCACAGGTACCTCAAGCATACAAACATGTATTGTGTGATACTTGTTGTATAGAGGTTCGAATCGGCACAAAGCGGAAGACGTAACTAAATGAGAAGCAGTAGAATATTGATTGTAAGCACAAAGTAAGATGAATGGGTTAATTTTTAGATATATTCAATATATTATGAAGTTTTTAATTTCACTGTCATCAATACAGGTTCTCTGAAATCTGGTGGAGCTGGCCACAGGTACCTCAAGCATACATACATGTATTGTGTGATACTTGTCGTATAGAGGTTCGAATCGGCACAAAGCGGAAGACGTAACTAAATGAGAAGCAGTAGAATATTGATTGTAAGCACAAAGTAAGATGAATGGGTTAATTTTTAGATATATTCAATATATTATGAAGTTTTTAATTTCACTGTCATCAATACAGGTTCTCTGAAATCTGGTGGAGCTGGCCACAGGTACCTCAAGCATACATACATGTATTGTGTGATACTTGTCGTATAGAGGTTCGAATCGGCACAAAGCGGAAGACGTAACTAAATGAGAAGCAGTAGAATATTGATTGTAAGCACAAAGTAAGATGAATGGGTTAATTTTTAGATATATTCAATATATTATGAAGTTTTTAATTTCACTGTCATCAATACAGGTTCTCTGAAATCTGGTGGAGCTGGCCACAGGTACCTCAAGCTTACATACATGTATTGTGTGATACTTGTCGTATAGAGGTTCGAATCGGCACAAAGCGGAAGACGTAACTAAATGAGAAGCAGTAGAATATTGATTGTAAGCACAAAGTAAGATGAATGGGTTAATTTTTAGATATATTCAATATATTATGAAGTTTTTAATTTCACTGTCATCAATACAGGTTCTCTGAAATCTGGTGGAGCTGGCCACAGGTACCTCAAGCTTACATACATGTATTGTGTGATACTTGTCGTATAGAGGTTCGAATCGGCACAAAGCGGAAGACGTAACTAAATGAGAAGCAGTAGAATATTGATTGTAAGCACAAAGTAAGATGAATGGGTTAATTTTTAGATATATTCAATATATTATGAAGTTTTTAATTTCACTGTCATCAATACAGGTTCTCTGAAATCTGGTGGAGCTGGCCACAGGTACCTCAAGCTTACATACATGTATTGTGTGATACTTGTCGTATAGAGGTTCGAATCGGCACAAAGCGGAAGACATAACTAAATGAGAAGCAGTAGAATATTGATTGTAAGCACAAAGTAAGATGAATGGGTTAATTTTTAGATATATTCAATATATTATGAAGTTTTTAATTTCACTGTCATCAATACAGGTTCTCTGAAATCTGGTGGAGCTGGCCACAGGTACCTCAAGCTTACATACATGTATTGTGTGATACTTGTCGTATAGAGGTTCGAATCGGCACAAAGCGGAAGACGTAACTAAATGAGAAGCAGTAGAATATTGATTGTAAGCACAAAGTAAGATGAATGGGTTAATTTTTAGATATATTCAATATATTATGAAGTTTTTAATTTCACTGTCATCAATACAGGTTCTCTGAAATCTGGTGGAGCTGGCCACAGGTACCTCAAGCATACATACATGTATTGTGTGATACTTGTCGTATAGAGGTTCGAATCGGCACAAAGCGGAAGACGTAACTAAATGAGAAGCAGTAGAATATTGATTGTAAGCACAAAGTAAGATGAATGGGTTAATTTTTAGATATATTCAATATATTATGAAGTTTTTAATTTCACTGTCATCAATACAGGATCTCTGAAATCTGGTGGAGTTTCAAGCGTGGCTATTGTACTCCTTTTATAGATCAGGTGCAACACAATGTTTTGATTAAGCTATATAGGTTCAGAATAGGTTGAAGAAATTTTAGATACCTTAAAATAGATGTAAAAGTCTTTATTTTTCAGGGTTTGTTAGATAACTCCTCTAGGCTCTAGCGCATGTGACAACTCCATTGAAACAGCACAGGAATAGCTCGAAATTAAATGGAAGTTGAAACTGACAGGTATCAAAGAATTATACACCAAAGCATATGCTACTTAAATTAATAATTAACCCCCCCCCCCCCCCTCTCCCCTGCAAATGAAGTGCAGGGCAGTAAATAGGAATTAGTCCATCTGACACGAGTCATGATTTTTTCTCTTCATTTTTTCCTAATTTTTTTTTAATGGAGGTAGGTTCAGTTTCTCCATTTAATGGCCCTTCTGTCAGTATTGCAAATAAATCTATTAAAATGTCCCATTTCAAACATCAATATAATCTGAGACTTAGTGCTTTCATTTCCTATAAATAAAAAGTTTCCTCTTAGAGAGCAGGTTACGTAAAACAGGTATTGTGATATTGCAATGTTCTTAAATTGAGCACCTTAAGCAAAGATAGTATGAGCCCACCCCTCGATTCAGAAAATAAGACATGGATTATATTTTTATTAAACAGATTTTTAATTATGTATTTGAAGTTTTTGATCAGAGGATTGGCTTAAAGCAAAATACTGAGGAACAGCTTAAATTTTTGGTCATTTGTGAAGAAATTCTTAGGATATGGAATAATGATATTTGTTGATGTCATGATACATGTAGATGGACTAGTAAGAAAATCATTTTATTTTTATGCAATCACCAAGAGTCCAAATGAATTTAATGCATTTTAAACTAAAATTGAGCAATTTAATTTTTTTCATAAATTCACAGGGCCCAAGAAGGCTTTAAGTGAACCTTGTTATTGTACATTATCCCAAGTAAAATGCCTCTGGGATCATGTCTCCACATTCCCTTTCATATTGAGTGTTATAGTACAGAAATTCTTTGGATAATGCTTTTAAACCTTTTTTGGCCACAGGTTACTAGCAGGGTCACTTAGGAGACCTATGGGTGTCTTTCTTGTCCATTCAATTCAATTCAGTTTATTGACATCACCGTGTTGGCATACAGTCAAAATAAGAAATTAAATGACAGATACATGTAACAGAAAAAAAAGAAGAGAAAAAAAGAGAAGAATGTTATAACCTAATTGCATGCAGTTCAATTTTACACAGTTCCTCATAGACCTTGGCATTGTTTCCTCTTTATAAACCATTTATCTAATTAGATACATAAACGTTTGTAGTATTATATTCACATGGGTTAACAATTTCTTTAATGGGATCAGTACCACAGTATAATTTATCATCAAAAATATCACAATATTGAAATCGAAGATTGTCATTCACAGGACAGTAAAGTACAAAATGTTTTTCATTTTCAACCAATAATTTACAAGCATAGCATAAACGTTTTTCCTTAGAGATTATTGGTTTACAGTATCTACCTGTTTCAGTGAATAGTGAATGTGCACTGATTCTTAATTTTGTTAGCTGTGATCTTTCATGCTCTTTTAAAGGAAACTTTAATTAATCCTGCAATTTATAATCAGTACAGTTTAAGATTTTACTATAAAAATAAAGTTTTCCTGAGTTAGAAGATGAGATTTTGCTCAATTGTTCAAAGGTCATATCAACAAAAGTTTTATTTAACTTAAACCTCAAATCCTTATGGGAAATGTTTAAAGAAGTCAAGTTTAGTTTTTGTTGAAGATTGAAAATCTTGCTTTGCCTTGAAGTATAACCCTTTTTCAGAGCTAACTCTTTGTCCTCTTTGAAAGCTGATAGTAAAAGTGCATTATTATATGTGGTATTTGATTCCATATTCCTTAATCTGATATAATTAAGGAATCTGATATAATATTTAAACATGTTTTCATAACATAAATAGTAAAGTGGATAAGAACCTAGTTCAGCATTGACTGCTAAATTTGATGCTTTTCTATATGTACACCTAGAATATCTTTGAGAATATGATTTTGAATTTTTTCAAATGGAAAACATTCTGAAGATTTAATATCTGATTTATAGTCTGTGATCCATATTTCAGATCATATGTTATAATTGGAATAATCATTGAATTGTATAGTTTAGTAACACTTGAACTGAAATATTGTTATTTCCAGGTATACTTGATTTCAATGCATAATATGGCTTTTAAGCACATTCTTAAAGTTGCTCTGAAGCAAACTTAGTTTTCCATTTGTCGTAATCCTGGATATTCACATATCTTTGGTTTGACATAGTGTTAAACCAATGAAAATGTTTCCATCGAAATCAGCATTGAACAAGACATGATTCCTAAAGTGTGATAGGATATTGAAAGGTCATGTCATAGTTCAGTTTCCAAGTACTGTATACAGGGAAATTTTTGCACCCGTTTTATTTTCGATCCCTTTGTCCTAAAAAGAGAGGGCCTAATCTCTTAAGCAAAAGTTTGGGGGCATTTACAGTGGGGCAAAATTGTTTACAAGTGTTAGAGGGCGAAAATAACATGTGCTTAATGTCTTGTTTACATATATTCATATAAAGCTCATTAAGTAAGCGCTACTTAAAAGCTACGCTAACTGGTTAAGAATTCAATATCCGCCAAATTTTTACACGCCAAATAAAATACATTTACAGCATCCCATATGGTTAAATAGTT